TATATATATATATATATATATATATATATATATATATATATATATGTTTAATAACAATTTATATAAAAATTAATAATTAATGATATCGAAAAGATGTTAAAAATATATTACGATAAAAATATGCAAAAAAAATTTTTCGTATAAGGCCTTATTTTTGAGAAAATCGACTTTAAATATTTGCTGCATATGTACATTCATGCATTAATAGCTTGCTTTTTCAATTCAGATTTGTTTGATTAACATTTTCAATACCACAAATCGATTTATAGCATTCAAGAGAGATTTTTTAAATGAAAAATGTCAAGTTTTGATTGGTCATGGAAAATAATTTAGCCATTACTCTTCAAATTATACTATTCAATTTTTTATTTATGAAATCATTTTAAGTTGTTTATTCAAGAAGTTATAAGTATCCACAAAAGAAAAGAATTAATTCCGTATTCAATCAATTAAGCAGAAGATGTTAGGAAACATTTACAAAAATTCATTTTGTAAAACGATAAAATGATCAATACTTCCAACAATTTCTTTAATAATTAATATTCTACTTTATTATGTATTTTCGATTACTTAATATAATAAACAAAAATCTAAATCGAGAGAATAAGACCGAGATACATTAAATTAAGATATAATCAAATATCGATTATTTAAAATCAATTTTCTCGAAAATAAGGCTTCATATAAAAAAACTGTATTTACATTATTAACTTATTTTTTATGTAAAATGTCGACTGTATTAAATATCTTATATATAATTTCAAATATGTTGAGATCATCATTCTAATCAACTTTTTTCATAAACGTTACTGTCGTGCCACTCGATTTTAGTTTTCAAGATACTTATAAAAAAAATTTTTTATTAAACTAATAGTAGATATACAGACAAGTTATTGCTGACAGATAAGTTATTTTGATATTTGTAAAATTTATTATACTCTTTTCTTGAATAATACTTTAATAAGTTTCATTTTGTTTGATTTGTTGATTTATCTCTAAAGATATCCTGATAAATAACTAGCGACATTTCTTGCGAAAACAATTTGCAGAAATATATAAATTTTTCAAATATCGCAATTTGCAGAAATATATAAATTTTTCAATTATCGCAATTTATTCTTTGCAATAATTTGTGAGAATGGTTTCTAAATTTTTTGCTCAATAAATGTCAGAGATGCCTATATTATTCATAGTAAAAAGTACTGCAAGTGAGAATCATAAACTAGTAAAAGGTGACTGGCTCGAAATAAACAAGTTCTGTTTAAAATGTCAATTCATCAAGTTAGATATGAAATATATATATATATTTTTATATATATCTTTTATATATATATAAAAGAGAGAGAGAAACAGAAACTGGATATTGTAAGAAAAAGATATAATAAATTTAATATTTATTATTAAATATTAATAATTTAATATTTAATATTTATAATATTTTATTTTCTAAATTGGAAATGGAATACACAACTCAATAATTTTCTGCGTATAAATTTAAATGACTTTGAATAGTCTTTGAAATTTGTAAAAAAATTCATTTTAATATTAACAGGAAAATATTTATATATCGCATTAATTGAGATTTATTAACACTAAACCTATCACGCGCGGTCAAATGATCGTTTTTAAAATTCTTGTATACAAAGTTACTGTATCGTCATATGACTTATTGACTTTTACTATAATGTAGATACAACCCATTTTTCAATATTCACAACTTTCTGTATTGTTTGCTTTACGAAAAAATTTCATAGCATGTCTAGTCTACCATGAACCGTAGTCATTTGACCGTTTGAAAAATTCATGTTATTTACGACGTTCGGAAGATGATCAAGAGTTTTCCGATATTGATAATGATATAGCAGAAAATAATTGTGACTTATTTGATAGCGATTCGGACGAAGAGAATATTTTGAATATACGAAGAGAACAAAAAAGAAAGAGATTCATAGTTAGTTCCGAAAGCGAAAATGAAGAAAATATTGAAACTGCTATAGAACTGTTTGGGAAAAAATATAATTGCGAAAGAACACCGATTTATAATATTTTCAGGATCGACAGGATACGCTAAAAAAAATATCATAAAGGGCGGAGTTGAGTCAGCATTTTTCTTGATTATTGATCATAACATGATTGAACGTGTAAGAAAATATACTGAATTCGAGTTTTGAAAACGAAATGGAAAGTATCAACTGCGAAATTATATGCATTTATTGGACTTCTATATGCACGCGGCGCATATGAGGCTAAAAATATGGATGTATCATATTTATAGAACACGAAATCTGTCATTTTTCTCGAAAACTACGAGCCGAAATGACTTTGCAGAAATCATGAGATTTATTAGGTTTGACAACAAGAATAAACGAAGCCAACGCTTACAAAACGATAAGTTCGCTTTGATCTCTGAAGTTTGATACAAATTTATCGAAAACAGTCAAAACTGTTATAAACCAGGAGGATATCTTGTTATAGATGAACAATTGTTTCCTACAAAAGCACGTTGTAGATTTACTCAATACATGTCCAACAAACCGGATAAATTTGGCATAAAATTCTGGTTAGCTTCTGATGTGAGTAGTAAAGTATATAGTGAACGGTTTTCCATATTTAGGAAAAGATGAAGGGAGAGAATCATCGGTTCCCCTTGGGGAGTATGTAGCTTTGAAATTAGCAGAACCATATACCATGGGCCATGGGGAAGAAATATAACAATTGACAATTTTTTTACAAGCACGTCATTAGCGAGTAAACTTCTAGCAAAGAAAACTACGCTTGTTGGAACCATTCGCAGAAATAAAAGAGAGCTACCAAAATTAGGCGAGACAGGCAAAAGATAGTATGCCACGCTTTTCAACAATATTATACAAAGCGAATGATTTTATTTTTTCAATTTATAAAGCTAAACCCAATAAAAAAGTATTGATTCTTAGTTCAATGCATTCATCTGTTAAAATTGAAAAAAGTGACACCCGTTTGCCAGAGACAATTAGATTTTACAATAGCACAAAATTCGGTGTAGATGTAACCGATCACACACCAGAAAAATATTTTGTTTAATATCCAATTAGCTAAAATCTCTTTCTATATTAAAATACAAATCTTTTTTTGCAGCAGTCATTTGATAGGAATCATGGATAGGAATAGGTATACATGAAATGTCGGTAGGTTTAGTGTTAAAATTTTAATATATAAATATATATTAGTTGATATATGTTAAGTTTTGTAATGTGATTATTAGACAGCTCTTGGAATTTATTAGTTTGCAGATTTGTCTTAAAATATTTAAAAAATTGGAAGCTTTGCTAATTTACACCAATATGTCATTATAAGAGTATTTCCCAAAAAATCGTGGGTCCTTGTAATTCCAAATACTCGAATTGATTTTTGATTTTTTGCAAATTCGAAGAAGGGGAAAAACTTGATAGTTTCTAATTGAACGTAGTCATTAGAACATATAAGTATAATATATGTTCCAGATAAAAGTTAAAATTAGTAGATTTTTTTAGACATTTTAGACATGCCTTAGAAACATTTAATATAGAGAAACATCCATTCCACATAGTTAGCATAACTAAAATCTTGCCACTAGTAATACTTTATTAAATAAACTTTTTTAGTAAATTTTTTTTCGTTATTTTTTTCAAATAGCATTTCGAGTTAGTTATTAGAAAAATCTTTGTTAGCATTCCATATGCTAAATCAACTCCGAAAAATTTATGGGATCAACCACAATGGCATTAATGATATAAAAAATTTAAAAATTAAATGAAACTTAAATATATTTTAAAAAATTTTAATATTATTTTTTTATAAAATGAAATAAAATTATGTAAATAAAATAAAATGCAAAAAATATCGCAAATTAATTATTAATATATTTTACAAAATGTTCTGCAATGATATCAATGTTGCCGATGTTTAAATTTAAACTTATTTTAACTTTTGCCAATAAATAATTTCTCAAATATTCAAGTATATTATTTTATATTATTGTAATTGTATTGAATTCAAAGTATTTTATTTTTTACAAGTCAAAATTATTATTTATTTATATAACTTGAATTTTTCAATAATTACATTATAATTCGTCAATAATTGATTATGCAAAATAATTGTATTAATCATTTTCAATTCTCTTTTTTATCTTCTACTATCAATAAAAATAATATTATATATTAAAAATCTAATAAAATCTTGTCTAACAAGATCTTTTTATAAAAGTTAATTATTTTATTATAACGATCACTAATCTTAAATCTTAATAAATCTTAATTAATACTACTTTTTTTTTAATTGATCAATTAAAAAATGGCAAAAATATATTTCAGGTAGAGTTAAGATGGTAATAAGAGATTATACGTATTCTGCTATTTCTGATTATATATAATCCAGTCTAAAACAATTTTCATGCTCTTTTAGATGTAAATTAATAGTTTCCTGTATAATTTATATATACTATTATAATCAATAGAAACTCAATAAAATCATAGGAACTATCCTCTTATTGTCTTGTCTTGTCTATTTTGTCTAAGTTTCAAAGTCATAACTAATTGTTATTTGATTTTTTTTTCTCGGATTTGAATCTATTCAAAAATTCCAATTGTGAAAAATTTATGAATTATAAATTTAATTGAAACTTTGAATACTCATAAATTTTATCTTATATTCTCAAAACAATATACAAAATACTTTATTATAAAATAGATATTCATGATTAAATTTTAATATATTTTTAATTTATATTCTCTATCATATACCTATCATAAAACACTTTTCATACTATGCTGATATTTGTAACTTTTTAAATATAGCATTATATCATGCTTCATTTCTAAATATTTATCAAATTATATATGATTATATATACTTTTATATTTATTTAGTTTTTTGAATATTTATTTATTATTTGTATATATTATTTTGAATAAAAGAAGATGAAATGCTTAATCTTGCATTGGTAAAAAAAAACGAAAAATTTATTTTGAATAGAAATGAATTATCTTGACAATTAGATTTAAATTTAAAAAAAATAATTATAGAGAAGTACGATTTTCCAAAAGAAAATTTGAAATGTCAAAATGATACAATAAAAAAAACTTAGAACATTCATTTAAAATTATTTAAAAATTGCAAAATAAAGAAGAAGCTATTAATTTATATAAAATAGTTATAATACAGATAATTAAAAATATAAAAAATATTAATATTCAAAAAAATCAGATAAATCATAGATAAAAATAAGAAAATTTTTTTATGAATGATAGTCACAAATACATAAATAATCTTTTTTCTCTGGCGCAATTTATGTGGATTAAACATTATTATCTAATTATTTTATTATTATTTAATTTGATTTTATGATAATAATTTTAAGAAAAAAGAAATATTTATTAAAAATAAAATATATTTCCATTTTTTCCTATTTTATTCCATGCCAAAAAAATGTTTTATTTTATTTTCTACACATACACATGAGAAATATATATTTTATATTTTAAAAAAATTTAATATTACATTTAAGCTTAAAATAAATTGTTAATTAAATCGCCAAAATACAATGCTGTATTTATTATAGTGGTTTTTTTTAATACACAAATTAAAAAATAATTGTTACACATATCGAAACTTCTATATAATATATTTTTACGCTCTGATATATATAAGAAAAAATGGAAACATAATTAATCACAAAATATTTTAACGATTTAGGTTCATACCACATGATATCTTTTTATCTTTCGCCTTTTTGAGGCTGATAATTATTAATCATTATAGCTGATTAAATTTAAATATATTTTTAAATGTAAAACTAAGTTGTAAAAGAAATTTATGTGAAAAATATAATATTCTAATTATTTTTTTATGGACTTTGATTATACAGTGAATATCGAAAATTTGTTTACAATTTATGACTTTTGGTTAAGTTATAATCGAAATCTTAATTACTATATCTTAAATCTTATCTAAACTTAATGTAATTTTAATAATAATTTTATCTTAATTTTTAATCTAATGCATATAAAAAAATATATATTTTTTCACATATAACTTGAAAACTAAAGCTGAATACTTTATATGTAGAAAAAAATTATTAATAAAATTATAAATGAACATTGACAATATATTTCAATATATTTTATAATGAATTTATTAAAAAATCAAAGTAACACTTCTATCTTTGTTTTTTTTAATTTTAGTAAATCCAATAACTAGTAAAAAATGTATATATACTTTTGCATATAATTTGAAAATTGAAACCGAATTTCTTATATATGTATAGGAAAAAAATTACTTAATAATAACTTTGATAATATATTTCAAATTTTTTGAATTCATTAAACTATGAAATTAATACTTTTATTTTTACTTTTTTCAACTTTATTCAATAATTTTAAAAGTCGAAGATTAACAACAAACATTAAAACAATTATATTCCTTTAAATTATTGAAAATCCGTAAGGAATCTTTTTTCGTGTCTTAAGCAATCGTAAAAATTTAATTATAAGATAATCGAGAATGTTCACCTTTGTCAAGGAGCATTGACCCAAAGTTATACTTTTTCCCATGGCCGCTTACAGCCAGAACTAGTTGGTGCATCATAGGTTGAGTGCGCAGAGAAGTTAGAAGGTTCTTTTGTAACGGTTAAACATCCGTATATAGTGTGTCTCAGCAAGAGTAACAAGGAAAATCTATATAAAATTGTATAAAGAATGAAATTGTATATCATATTCATTTCCATAATTAATTTAAAAAATACTGCCATCAATTGGTAATTGTTTTTTGTCACATTATTATTAAAGTGTTCATCAAAATAATCACGCAAAATATGTACGGTCCAGTGAATTATCAAGTTTACTGTGTATTTTCTAATTTTATTTTTGTTTTTGAGATTATACTACAGTGATAATAATCAATAGGTAAGTACACTAAAATATTTATCTCTTTATTTCTTTTTTTTCTTAATTAAATTTATCTTTATTTTTAATTGAATTAAAGATACTTAAATTTTTAAATCTGATAAATCAAAATACATAACATCTTCAATTTTATTTATATCTTTGTACAAGAAAATTTAAATGAGATCGAAAATATAATAATGTAATAATATACATAAATTAATGTAAATTAATGTATATTAATTTAGTAAAATTCATTCAATTAATCAATTCATATAAAATATAATTCCAAATAATCATTAAAATTTAGTTTATTAATTTCCTAATAAGATAAGGGAAAATAGATTTTATAATAAATGAAAATAAATATTTTTATTTATTTTGAATAATAAAATTTTGCAAATAAATTTGACTTCGAAATTTATAGTAATTATATACGTAAAGAAATAGGAAATAACATATATTTTAATACTATATTATATTTTATATAATTATTATATAAATATTATATAAATACTATTTTGATTCATTGAAATATAAAAAAATATTTCGAATATATTTCGAATAATTACAGTTTTTAAATTTAAAATTTAACATGATATATAATGTACTGAAGCCATATTATATATATATATTAAAACGCAAATTTTACATACACGAAATAAATATATAATTTTTAATTTTTATTTTAAAATCTCTTATTTATAATTTATTTTTTAATTCTAAATCCAAACATAAATAATAAACAAAATTTCTTCATGATTTAAATATTAAGAAATAGTATTTTGAAATAATATTTACTTACAAAAATATTTCAATTTCTATTATTTTTGTGAATATGAAATTATATCAAATTTTCTCTAGCCTTGATTTTATTTTATTGATTTAATAAATTTGATTATTTGTAATTTATATTATTTTATCTTCTATATTGAGAAAATGAATTAACACACATGGTATTAACACAACATTCTTTGCTCAGAATAATTTCTCAAATATTAGCAAAATTTGTCGATTTCAATATAAAAACGTCATAATACTATTTTACGTTTGTATTATGTATTAAATAATATTATATATTAAATAATAAAATATTTTCACGTATTATTGACTATTAATATTATATTATAGGATTAGAGTATCGATTCTAGAAGCAAAAAAAGTTCATACATAAAAGTGTCGATTGAGACATTTATTAAATTATAATCAATTGAAATTTACGATGAAATTAGACGAAGCAAAACAAAGCAAATAGAAAATGAAACTGTTCTATTTTCATCGTCATGCTGTCTCATTCTCTTTCTATTTATTTTAATTTAACGCAAATTTCGATTGCTTAAATGATTAAATTGCTATAAATTGCTATAAATTGGTATAAATTGCTATAAATAAGCTTCAACTGACATTTATATAATAACTTTTTCTGTATCTGTTTTTAAAATAGATTTTCTAAATCTCATGAATATATTGATATTCTGTATAATATATATTTTAGTTTATCATCTAGTTTATATGTATGTATTTTAGTTTATCAAGATCAAATAATTTATGAATAAATAATATTATATATGAATCAGCATTATAGCACATAATCATATCATGTGATTATAACAATATATACAAAAATAATTATAACAAAAATCAAGAAAAATATAAAAATAAATTATAAAAATAATTTATCGCATAAAAATAAATAATTTTTTAAATTAATGATACAGAAGAAATTTTTTGACTTCAAAAATTTATAAAATGGGGATTGCATATTTATTAAAATAAGATTTCTGTGAAGTTTTTTTTTTGATTCACTTGATATATAAATCAATAATTATTAATTCACACATACTACTTTTTGTTTCATAAATCTTTACTATTCTCAAAAATATACAAGTTAAAAAATAAATTGAGATTGATGATACTTATAAAAAATTATTATCTAAATTATTATTTTATTATTATTATTATTAAGTTTTTTATTTTATTTTATAAAAAGTATTTAATAAAACTTTAATAACATGTACATAACATTCTTTTCTTTTAATTTATAAATGTATAAATTGATTAAAAAAACTTAGAACACCCTATATATTATTTTTATCACTCAAATGATTATATGCGCGGAACTGGTCTTGCTTATACTGGTCTTGTTTTACACGTTATCGATATATATATAACTCTCTTGAACCTTGCTTTCATTCTGGATTTTATATGTTTCATTTTATTTTTTATTTATATGTTTTTTTTAGAAAAATTTATACTTTTTTATGTTATTTGTTGATTTTTATGAATATGTCAAAAACCAAAGGTGAAATAAAATTTATTGGTCTTGATCTTTATATAAATAATTATTAAGTGTATATAATTCGAAATATATAAGTATATAAATATAAATATAAATATAAAAGTAATATAAATATATAAGAAGTAAAAAATATAAATGAAATTAACCATATTATTGTTTAGAGAGTTATATAATTTTTTATAATATTCAATTAATAAATTATGATATAATATATATAAAATAATATTTTGTGTTACCTACCTATAAATTACTAATTTTCCATTAATATTAATAGTATTATTAACTTCTTTATTAATTTACAAGAGATAATTACAATAATATTCTACTATTCAAGTAATAAAAAAAAATCAACTAAATGCAACAATATATAAAATTCATTAATATTTATATTTATATTTATATTTACATTTTATTTTTCAATTAAATATTATTTTATTATGATAATATAAATAAATATAGAATATTAAATAAATATTTACAATTACGTAAATGATTTTGATTTAATATGTATACTGTACTTTTGATTGCCTATATGTGGAAGCTCACTGCGAATTATTTCGTATTTATTTTGTACCTAAGAATATACTGTTCGTCATGCTATTCTTATAGCAAAACAAAAGAATATGTTAGACATTGGTAAAAGATTTATATGTATTGACATTAATTTTTTGTCAATATATGAGAATAAGAAACTATTATGAAAATATTATTATATGAAAAATTATTACGAAGATATTATTATATGAGAAATTATTATGAATTTTTTAGTGTAAAAATAAAATTTAGTATACATACATAAAAGAAAAAAAAAAAGAAAGAATTAAAGGCATTAAAATG